TGGCGCGAGATATGGTGCCTGTTTCTCTAGACCCAATGCCAGCACACGTCATATAGCTGGCACGGGGGCGCTGGGATACCGCGGCAGCATCTTTGCTGGTGCAGCCGAAGGTGGTCCGAGCGCCTAACGTCGTCATGACAGTGCTCACACACGTATCCTGGCGTCGATAGCAGCTCGAAGATGTCCATACTGCATACAATAATTAAAACAAATATATTACTTTGGACCAAACAGACTATTCATAAATTACGTGTGCCTATAACCTTGGTAGTCGCACATGCGCCGTGAAACTTTCGCACCAGTAGAACAGGTAGCTTCGCGGTAGATTCAATAGTGAAGCGCAGGTATTTTCAAACATGCGCTCCTCCAGATGCGTCCCGTGCAAAACGTATCCAATTGGCATAAAGAAGCCATATCCTTTACCCCCTCTGGAAGGGCATGTGCCATAATGAAACATTTGTGGCATAGTGTACACAAAATTGCCCTTTTCCCTACTCAAAATCGCACAAGTCCAGCTCTTACCACAATGCTGTTTTTACACCATCTTCTTCGAACAAGATAATCCTGAAGCTTGAAAAGAGCTTCACCGTCACTTGGCCTCATGGTCGGGTCAACAGAAACAAAAGCAAAGCCAAGATCCGCCATATACTTTATTCGACAACTCTACCGTTGCAGTTCCCATGGTCACTCTTTGCAGATGAGTGGCATCTGTTATTTGCCGTCCATGTGAGTTCTGCATCTCCTGTCTGGCCTGAGCGTACGGTAAAATGCGGGTATTTAGCGCGCTTAACACAATGCTAGACGAGAATATGTTGGTCTTGTCATCGTATTCGTGTCTTGCGAGACACTGTATCCTCTTCGAGGAGTGATGGTGACCCGGTGGTGGTGACGGAGATGTCGCCATACCGCCCTCATCCGGTCGGGCTCGGTCGCGGAGGGAGAGGAGAAGAAGACGCAGAACGTCTGTGACGTCTTCGACGTCGGACGGTGTGTCCAACGTGACGAGCGGTGATGCTCCATGTGATTGCTGCGGACAGCTGTACACACTCGTGAACGGAGTGACGGGGGAGGTAGAAGGCGATATCAGCCTTGACACTCTGCTCGTTGCAGATGCTCTGCTAGAGCTGGACGAGATGTTCATTGTCGAGTTTGGCGAAGCCTTAAAGGCAGGCGAGCTAGCCGAGGTGGTCCTGCTGGGACCTGAGGAGGAGTTGAACTCCTCATCCGTCGTGGACGACGCGGTCCTAGAGGACACCAAGAAGGCGCTGAGCGCCAGAAGTGGATCGGCGATCCTCAAAGATCCTTCGGATCCCTTCTATTCTGTGGTGAAGGAGTATGGAGACGTTGTCGCAAAAGACCCACCGATGGGCCTGCCTTCGGATCGAGGCGTGTGTCATGATATTAACCTGGTTCCTGGAACCAAATACTGCGTGACAAGGCAATGGCCTTTACCGAGAGAGCAGTGTGACGTCATTGACGCATTCTTCCGTGCGAAGCACGAGGCAGGGATGGTGCGTGAGAGTAAGTCTCCGCACTCGACACCCCCGTTCTGTGTCAGAAAGCCGAACGGCAAGTGGCGCTTTGTTCATGGTTTTAACAAGCTGAATGCGGCCACTATCCCGGCGCAAACGCGGGTTCCTCGCAAGGATGTTCTGCAGGTCAACACGGTAGGCTGTACGTTGTACAGCGCGCTCGACTTGGTCGATGGCTACTACCAATTGCTCATGAGGGCGAGCGACATTCCGCTGACAGCGGTGAGTACTCCGAGCGGTATGCTCTGGGAGTGACTGGTGATGCCCCAGGGGCTGTCGAACGCACCAGCAACGTTCAATCGTCTTGTGACGCAGTTGTTTATGCCCCATCGGGTGTACGCTCAGACGTACCTTAACGATATATTCGTCCATAGTCGTGCTGAGCACGGAAAGTCAGACGTGGAGAACCACATTGACCACTTGCGAGCGGTGCTCGAGTGCATGCGCACTAATAAGCTGTATGCCAACTTGGACAAGTGCGCCTTTGGCGCGGAGGAAAAACTTTTCCTCGGGTGCTTCATGGGGAAGCGAGGCTTAAGGGCAGATCCTGCCAAAGTCAAGGCCATCGTGGACTGGGCCGGTTCCCAAGAACCAAAAAGACTTACGCAAGTGGCTAGGCTTAGCCAATTACTTGCACAAGTACAGCGCGACTTACGCGGAGATGGCTCGGCCATTTTCAGATCTCTTTAAGAAGGACGCACCATGGTGCTGGAACGTCGAGATCGACGGAACCTTTGAGGCTGTGAAGGAGAGCCGCCTCCAGGCTCCGATCCTTGCGCTACCGGACCCGGATAGTCCGTTTAGCGTCGTCTGTGACGCCTCTGATTTTGCAATCGGTTGTACTTTACTACAAGCAGATGCCGAAGGGCGTGAATGCGTGATTTCGTTTGAGTCTCGCCAGCTCAAAGCTGCAGAGAAGAACTATCCAGTTCATGACAAAGAGCTACTTCCAATGAAGTATGCTCATGTCGAATTCAGGGTACACCTGCTAGGCTCTAAGCCTTTTGTGATCTTTACTGATCATGCGTTGCTACGCACTGCGACCCAGTCGCCTCATCTCTCTCCGAGAATGGCAAGATGGCTTTCCTTCTTTGCCGAGTATAACTTCGAGGCGAAGTACAAGCCAGAGCGGCTTAATGCAGTGGCCGATACGCTCTCGCGCAGGCCCGACTACGAGTTAGCTCATGTCACGACAGTGACGTCGTCAGTGCCTGACTTGATACGCGGAGCGTATGCACAAGACGACATCTGCGTAGCGCTGCTACGGGCTCTTGGGGGCGAAGCGTTTAAAGATTCTGACAAGGAATTGTCTGGGCGCTTACGCGCGAGGCTGCATCGATACTCGCTCGATGGCGGCCTGCTGTACTACATCACCGACTCTGAGGATAACCCTCGTGCAGTCGTTCCTCTTGATGAGGATCTAAAGTATCGAATCCTCTATGAGGTTCATGATACGCCCGTGGGCGGGCACTTAGGTCGGGAGAAGACCTATGGCTCGGCGAGCTCGATGTACTGGTGGCCCAAGATGTATAAGTGGGTCGGCACCTATGTACGCACGTGTGAGACGTGTCAACGGACAAAGTCCGCGCCGAGCACGGCAGCGCCATTGGCGAGTTTGTCTGTCCCCGAGGGATGATGGCAGTCGATAAGTATGGACTTTGTGTTTGGCCTTCCCAAGGATAAGGTGGGAAAAACGGGTATTGTGGTCTTTGTAGATCGATTGAGCAAGATGGCTCATTTAGTGGCGGTGCCAGACACAATTAATGGTGAGGGTACAGCTTTGCTGTTTTTAGACCGAGTCTTTCGCCAACATGGCTTGCCTGAGGCAATTGTCTCGGATCGAGACCCGCCCTTCACCGCGAAGTTCTGGACGTCCCTCTTCAGAGTGCGCGGCACTCGTTTGGACATGTCCACAGCGGACCATCCGCAGACCGACGGTCAAACCGAACGCGTGAATCGCGTTGTGGAGGATACCCTCCGAAGCGTATACGCTGAGGCGCCAAAACGCTGGAGCCAGATGCTCCCACTCGTTGAGCTCGCATTAACTAATGCTGTGCACGCCTCGCCAGGCTACACTCCGTTCTATGTGAACGGCTTGGTTAACCCTCGCGTCCCACTGACGCCGCCTCGCAGTGGCTCAGGGCTTGATGGGGGAGGGATAGCCGAGCGGCTAGCTGACGTCAGCCCTGTGCGGTTCGCAAGCAAGTCGTTGCCTTTGTCTCTTTGAGACTAAGCGTAATGTTTCAAGTACGCGACGCTATGGCTGAAAGCCAAGACACGCAGAAGGAGCATGCAGATGCCAAGGGCAGACGCAATGTTGAAAGGTTTGAGGTCGGTGACTAAGTTTTATTAAACGCTAAAAACCTACCTACTCATGCAGTGTCTGCAGTCTTCAAGACGCAGTTGAGACCTCGGTTTATGTGACCGTTCAAGGTCGTGGCCAGAAAGGGCCTAGCGTATACGCTCAACCTTCCGAAGAAGATGCGCTCGCATCCAGTCTTCTATGTCGGCTTGCTTAAGCCATATCAAGACCCTGCTCAGGTGAGCGCGGAGGTGTTGGCACCAACGGTGGCTACAACCACGGACAGCTGCAGGGCAGCAGGTGGAAGAGCTCTTCCACGGGAGGCTGAGCGACAGCAAGTGGTGGACCCACAGATGGCTGATCAACAGCATGTGGCAGAGCCACAGGTCGCGGAGCAAAGTGCTCAAGATGCAGGAGCAACGCAAGCTGAACGTTCAGCAGAGCGACTGGACGCTCAAGGTCCGAGATCTGGCTGTGAGTCAACAGTGGTGACGCTAACCTATCCACAAGGTGGATAATCTCTTCGAGATGGACCGATGGGCTGTGAATGTGAACATTCACGTCGTAGACGCCGGCGTCGTATGGACGCAGACGCCGTTCCGGCAAGTGCTGACTCCCCCCGCGAGAGCCCAGCTGAGGCAAGGCCTCCTCCTGCTCTGCTCGATGAGCAGGGTGAGCTCCACTTTCACGTGGAGCGCCTTGTGGCGTGACGTAGACGCCAGGGTCGTACCCAGTACTTGGTGAAGTGGAGGGGTTACCCCCAATCACAGAACTCATGAGAGTTTGAGGTTATCCTCCGGCAAGATTTCCCTGACGTCGTTGACGCTTACATCCGGGCACATCATGTGCCGAAGCGCCACCATGGCGTGCGACAGCGTCGCCAGCCGCTGGTCGCCTCCCACTAGAGTGGGGAGCGATCAGGTCAGTAGTTGAGCTCAGGCTCTGACCAGTGGCTGCAGCAGCCAGCTCGTACTTATGAGAGGTGCTCGCAGCGGGAGCAGGAGGTGGAGAGACCTCGTGGTGTTAGGGTCCTGAAGGAAGTAGGTACTTCGTGTTGTGCTGAACAAGGTTCCGGCACAAGAGTCTCGATAGACGCATAGTTGTTTTGAAACGACTTGCTCAATGAGCATGATCCAAATGTGGATGCGCTGTAACAGCGAAAGTGGTGTCCCAGACAGAGATCGAACCACTGGCCTTTGGCTTGCCAGACCGGAGCTCTACCATTGAGCTGTAAGGACGATGCCCATACGTCAGTCCGAGAACGGACAACTCATGGTATGAGAGGGCTGCGCCCTGAACCACCGACCTGTGGCTTCCAAAGCCAACGCTCGACCACCGAGCTGAAAGGGTGTTGCCCTTAAGCTTGTTCATTCAAGGACAACAGTTCATGGAGCGAGAGGGATATGCCTTGGTGCCACTGACCTGTGGCTTCCAAAGCCAACGCTCGACCACTGAGCTAAAAGGGTGTTGCCCTTAAGCTTGTCCAAGCGTGAGCAATCGTTCATGGGACGAGAGGGCGACGCCCTGGTGGGATTGAACCACCCACCTATCGCCTGTGAAGCGATTGTTCAACCGCTGAGCTGTTGTCGACGACTCGGATGAGTCAAGAGCATAGCTCTAACCGGTTTGCAACTCTTGGAGTAGGCGCGGAGCGCGAGCGTAGGTCTGAGACCGCTTGAGAGCAAGATGCGCGCTGCGCTTGGAGCATTGGGCCGTGGGCCGACGACGAGAAGCTGAACATCAACGATGCGTAGGCGTTTGTGAGCTCACGGAGCTGTACAACGCTGGTGTAAGGTGAAGTAACCTCCGCCGTCTTAACAAGACGTGACCTCGCTGAGGAAAGTTTCGAGAGCGGAATGTTCTCATCTTAGTGGGGAGAGTGTAACGGGGCTACATGGTGTGGAACCCACAGGGGTACGACGTACCCGGAGAGTTAACAAACTCTCAGTACATAAGCTGGAGAGTTAACAAGGTCTCTCAGTACGTTGGCCGAAAGCCACACGCTATGCATTTGATTAGGTTTAACTATGCTAGATAGTTAAACAGATACATTTACCCCTAGGCGGCTCGGCCGCAATAATAGTAAATAAAACACTTCTGGTTTTGAAGCATAAAAGTTAAGGTGTTAACTTTGAGCCCTGGTCTTGGGCTGTAAGTGTCCTTTGGATAAGGAACTTAGTATTAGTGACTCTTTGAGTCGAACGTCTTCCTCTGACGCTAAAGCTACGGCAGCCCCGCTGCAGCCTACCATGTTGTTCTGCAGAACATCCTTGCGAGGAATCGACGTTTGCGCCGGAATACTGGCCGTATTTAGCTTGTTAAAAGCATGAACAATGCGCCACTTGCTGTTCGGCTTTCTGACACAGAACGTGGGTGTCGAGTGCGGAGGCTTACTCTCACGCACCATCCCTGCCTCGTGTTTCGCACGGAAGAATGCGTCAATGACGTCACACTGCTCTCTCGGCAAAGGTCATTGCCTTGTTACGCAGTATTTGGTTCCAGGAGCCAGGTCAATTTCGAATGCGCCGTTCGTGTTTCAAGCCCAATTGTCGTCTTTCATCCTTCTTTTCTGTGAAGCATGACCACACAACGGTAGATCAGTGTAATAGCAGGTATCAACGGTTTGGTGAGGAGCATACCACGCTGCGAAGCAAACTTGGAAAAGATTTCCTTGTTCTTAAACCTGAATTCGAGTAACTTGACAGTCTTTACGATACCTGTTGCTACCAATGTGTTGATGCAATGTCTCCAAACCACGCATTTATCTCGTACCTCCTCTGCAGTCCAGTTTAAGCATCTCTTAGCAACGGGCGCTTCAGCCTCCTTCATCGTCGCCTCATGTTAATTAGGTCTAACGCTAAGGCAGGACGACACGTCCGATATCGCACCATGCGACTCTCTAGAGATTGTTGTATTCGCAAGTAAGACTGTCTCCCTAGGAGAGTTCGTAGCTCATCGGGCATTCCCTCCACGCTCGTTGAATACGCACTGTCCTCGAATAAATCACTGGTAGTGGGCGCTAGAATTCTGCAAAACCGATAAAGCAGCTCTAATCGAATTAGACAGGGATACATTTACTTTAGTTGCCCCAGTTGCCCCGAGTTCCAATCTAAGGGCAACTGGGACACAAAGAAGCGATCCTGATTGGCTGAGTAAGTTGCCCCAGTTGACCTACCCCCGAATGAAACATCCCCTTAGGACCTAAGGACCGTCACGTGCCGTATTGTGCAATATTAACTTAATACCGGCACCCTCCGATTCTTAATACCGGCACTTTGCCGCAATGCAGCTATCTATGTTACTTAGCGTTGTGTAGTTTGTTGAGTTGACCGAAATATTCTGCCTGGAATATACCTTTTAATGCCAGCGACGTCAAGCCTGTGCGACGGTCGTTCAATTCCCAGGTAGAGGTTTTAAAATGTCATTACTAAAATTCCTTGGGTTGACGGATGCGAGTTGTGATGGCATTACGGGTCTACTATCTCTCTCTGCTTGTACGACCTCCATTTCTTCAATAACGTACTCCACAAATTTGCCAAGCCGCCACTGTGTCGATTGCCTCTCAGGCTGCGTTAGAGAATTAAGATAGTTTCTTACAAACCTTCCCTGGTCTTGCACAAAATTACCAAGGTCGTGCTCCTTGAGCCAAAACTTGTCCGTCACTACATCGGAGCCCGAGACGAAAAGAAGAAGGGCTAAATCTGGGATCAAAAGTGGACACTCGCACTTCGCGAATCTGGCGGATTCGCAGCATACCGATGTTTTTGTGGGAAGGTAACGGATTGTTTTGAGAAGTCTGACCGGAAAAGTAGGTTGCTTTCTCGTCGTAGCTCAGTGCTTGATATTCTGCCCACTTTAAGCTATGCGCTGTTGTGTTGTGATCTTTGTAGTATTGAGGTCGATACGGCGGCTTGTAAAACTTTTGATTCTGCGTTCGTTTTCTCTTGCCGTTTCCCGTCTGTTCTCAGTTCTCAGTTGTGGTGTAGTAGAACACACAAATATCGTCAGATGTGGATTCCTTACACAAACCACAACGAATCGCCGAGTTATATCGGCGGTTTGTATGGCCTGCGCAGAGGGTGGTCCCCTCGCGGTCCGGCCCTTCCGGGACAGACGAGTGGCTCGCTTCCACCCGGTTCCGACTAACCAAGTCAGATCACTTCCGAGGCTCCGCCGAGTTTGGTTCGGCTGAGCTCGTTCACAACCCTGTGCCCTCCACCAAAGGATGGACGACGGCGCGCGAGCGCTTTTACAGGTCACCGAGCGCAGAGGCAGCTCAGCTAGAGGTGTTACGGCACCCGGGCTATCCGACATACCGGCCCGCTGAGTATGCGGGACTTTCTTTCGCGCGTAGCGAGCCTTGTCCTACCCGGACCGACCTAATCTCTTGGCGCTACCAGTCAATACCCTACAAGCTATGCCTCTCGAGTATTGACGGCAGGCATAATCCAGCCCTATGCAGGGACTTACCGGAAAAGTGTACACGTGTCTTGGACTAGGAAAATTCTGCTCTGTTATCTTCTGGGAGCCCTTTCGGCTCCCCCTATTTAATCCTATGCTTCTCATACAAATATCTAATGAAATGTAGTCGTTTTGGATCTCTACCGACCCTTCAGCTGAGTTCCGGCGACCGTTGAGCTCAGCGGCTGTCCGGATAGCATATCCGGACAGATCGCCGAGTACTTACCGTGATCCTTGGCTCCTAAGCTCTGGGTTATCAGACCGAGCCGATTCTTGACCTAAAGTAGGTCGGCGTATGGTCGAATCTGGAAATCCCTACACCACAATGCTGTGTAGGTTTCGTATTGGAGTGAGTACCTTGGGTTGCTTGCGCCTCGGCATGGGAACCACCGGTGGTTCCGTCAGGAGTCTCCGCGTTTCCTCCAGATCCATCGTCACTACCGTCGCCGTCCGGCGTATTCACCACCCGTACTTGAAAAGCAAATTGTACCACCACTGTTCTAGCTGAGCCATCGCTGTGTTGAAATCACTATCCGGAAATTGGACAAGTCCACCACTAATTCGTCCAAACGCCTGCTGGGTACGTCGATACTTCTCCGCTTCAGTGAGATTTGAAGCGTTTGTAGATACGCTGGTCTTGTATATCTTAGCCATGAAAGGCTTTCTTACCTCGACCAGGTTCCCTGGTACAAGCCTGCTCTGTCTAAACCACCTACACAAATTCCAACAACAACACATCATGGCAAACATTAGTCAAAACCTGGTCAAAACCTGAACAAAACCTGGAAACACCTGGATGCAATGCTGGAGAATGGGAAGATCAGCGGATTACCACTCGCATTCCTGTACACCATAGCATGGCGACATGGAAGCTTCATCGTCTGGGAGAACTCGCAATCGCACGTCAAGTTATCCTTCTCAAGAGGGTACTCGTGGTCTTCGTACTGGACATTGATGGTGGAGCCGTTGTCCTTGAACGAGTAGCTGTCTGCTACGGCTGGGTCTGTCGGTACGTCGTACTGTGTTTTAATTGCTGCGGCTACCCATCGCGTTGTCATCCCCAACACCACGTTCATCTGCTCTGGATAAGAGGCGTCCCGCAAAGTACCAGGCATCTCGACCTTCGATTTGTACTCTTCTTCCTTGCGGTGCTGGATGTTTAGAAGAAGCTTGAGTCTGGCTCGAATCGTGAGTTGACCTTTTTATTGCCGCTTGAGTTTGCCGAAAAAACTTTCAACTCGGTTGTTTGTGTGATTTCCAAAGTGAGGCAAGTCCACACGATACGCCATTACCCACATTTCACAGCAATCATTCCAATTCTTGTCAAAGTATTCCCAAAGCTCTGTGCGGCCGTCTCTGTAAGGTAAACGTTTGACCCATCACGATGCCAAGTACCATAAAGTACCACGGTGGTCTACAGAGAGGCGACCACGAAAATCGCATGGTAATAGGGATCGGGCTACTGCATCTATATATCTGAGATAGATGATATACAAATTGAAAGTACATTGAATAGTGAAGGTGCATCAATTTGTCAAAGTAATTATCGCATTTATTAATTAGTGCTGACAGCTCAGTCGTTAAGACGGCTAGCTTATTGAGGGCCCTTCGGGGAGCAGGGTTGTCGCGATTTCGAGTCCGCTTGATCACGTTAATTCTCCGCACTAAATGGTAAGTAATGCTTTCTATTCAAAGCTCAGTCAAAGCATCCAACTAACACTCTTTTGATCTAAACCACAACCGAACAAACAATGTTGGCAGACATAGCTGGCTCTGA